GAGAGAAAGATGGCCTAAATGGATAGCCAATATTTTGGCCCTAGCACTTCAAGGTTGCTGTAGACCCAGGATATAAAATAACCTCTGATTGGATCAGCCTAGGATACTCCCTGTGTCCCTGGTTGTATCATTAAGAAGATGATGAGACCACAGAGGAAAGTCATCTTAAGTGCAAGGTGTGCCTATGGAGAGTGACCAGGAGAAAAATCTTCCAAGCTTTCACAGAGAGCAACTTGGTCAAGCAATGGCTGTGACACTTTTGGGTGGCTGACACTGACAGAAGAGCCATGAGATGCTATCCACAGTTCTAAGATAACTCCTGAGAAGAACTACGTGACCTTTATAGGAACTAAGAAACTGATTGTAGTTAATGCAGGTCTCATGTTAGCTTGGTCTTGAACCTCTTGCAGAAAAGGCTGGCCTTTGGAGATACAGTGCAATGTAAAATGTTGGCTGTGGGAGAATCTCAGATCACTAACATCCTCTGACAATTGCTGTCTATGTTGGTAAAAACACTATTATGAACTGATCAACGAAGATCAGTTTAAATTGGAGTTTTCCTCAAAGCTTCCCCACCTTGAGCTGGCCACCCATCCTGGGAGACAACAAAACAAATAAAGAGAGAGATGTTGGAAAGGGTTGAAGCTGAATACATGTGCAGAGCTGTGGTGTGGCCTGGGCCTGCTTGAATTGAGAATGAGGAGACATCTCAAGGAATAAGATAGGCCACTGCTGACACTACCTGGAGACTTCCTACATAGTTTTCCTTAATTAGCATCATCTGTTGTTCTGAGGGTTCCTGGATCATCTCCCAGGAGCCCGTTCAGGTTTCCTCCATTGTCCACTCAATTCCTTGCTAGTTCTGATTAAATACATGCTACCTAGTGATAGTTGGCTGGCCAGCTAGCAGCGTTATGAGCTCTGAAGAGGATTTCACTCTTCCTGCTACCCTCAAGAGAATGCCACTTGTCTTATTCCTTTGGTCCTTTGCTGTGCACTTTTTTGGGTACTCAAGATTTAGGCATAGGCCCCAACAGAAAATTAACTTTCAGATAGGATAGCTGTAAGTTTCCTGAAAAGATTACTTCATGTAAAATTTTCTGTACCTGTAGATGGAAGTGTTTTGCTACCTATCAACAAAATATATTGCTACCTTATCCACATATTGCTACCGTATCAACATATATTCTCTTATTAACATATTGAGGAGTATTCATGATCATAGAACTGTTCACATCATTGTGAGTATTCTTCATGAATTTTTCTAAGTCAGTAATTACAAGTGAAATTGGTAGATGATAAAGTAGGCAACCTTCAATTTTTTAAGTACTATGTAACATGAGTGTAGGTGTTTCTAGCAGCTGATTTGTTTCAACCATGAGTGCATCATCAGAGGCCTGTTCTGCCTGCTTAGCAGGCAGAGAATGGGTTGCACAGGAAATTAGTGGTTTTCATCTGCAAAGAATTGCTGGAGTCAAACTGAAATAGGTACATGCTAAAAACCTGTCAGGGTATTCATAGATTAAAAACTCATTTACATAATTACTTGAATGAGTTGATCTATTTGGAAGATTATTTAGGACATACACCGAGCTGAATTAGATTAGATAATTATTTCTTTACTTTTACTCAGGTACAAAATATCTGACCTACAAAATTTAATAACAATATATTCGTTTATGTCATTGTTTTGAGGGAAGTTTGGTTTTGACTGTTTCCAATACAGAAATATCTTTGAAAATAGGAGTGAAAAGAAAAAGGTAACTTTTTTTAACAAGGTCAAGGAGCCAGAGAAGAGTGAAGGAGCCAGAGAGGAAGGATCCAGGGACCAGATTTGATTCATGGGTTCCAAATGACGTGGCTGCAATATATACATATAGGAGTGATTATACAAATCTCCTACACATCTCTGATGCCAAACAAGTTGTTAACAAATGGATCACATGGCTTTAGGTAATATATGCCCTCTAGGAATATTAAAATCCTGAAGCGCAGAGTGATAATGTGTGACAAGAGAACTATAGGGCAAGGGGAACTCAGTGTTTGACGTTCTCAGGTTTCCCTGCCCCATCAGAAGGAAATGTTTAATTGGATTAGGAACTTGGTTCCATTTCAGCAATAATTGTGCCCCCCATGCTTGGCAATATGATCAATTTCAGAATTCAGAATTTTTATGAGTCTGAATGAGTAGCAAGCTTGTCTTGGAGAATTGATGTTTGCATTTCTTTCATGTTTACTCTCTTGTGAACTATTAGTATCATTTAAATATAATGTCTTTACACAGTAACTGCTCATTTTGTGTTCACATACTGGGATTCTAGGTGGAAAATAAATACAGATAATATTGAAAATCTTGAAAATGTAGTCTGTTGCATCTCATACAACCTTCCCACTCTCTATTCTGTTGTGTGCCACTGTGGCCTGGGCACAGAATGTTTTCTGACATCAGGGCATTTATTCATCCCTGAAGGGTAGAACCTGAATCCTGAAAACATTTGCAGCTCATTATGGAAATAGTGCACTAAGTCCTGAATGAAAGCAGATGTAGCCATGAAAAGGCAAGAATAAACATAACATTTAGAGAAAACCTAACACCACTACTTCTCAAAATTTTAATGAAATTGAATGGGAAGTGCTACTTCAAAATTCATTCCGGGAAGCAAGAATTACCCTTATTCCAAAACCGGAGAAGTATCCAAATAAGAAAGAGAATTTCAAGCCAATCTGCCTAATGAACATTGAAGCAAAAATGCTCAATAAGATACTGGCAAACAGACTGCACAATATCAAGAAGATTAAACTCCATGATTAAGTGGAATTCTTCCCTGGAATGCAGGGGTGGTTCAATATACATAAATCCATACATATAATACACCGTATTGACAAATCCAAAGTCAAAAATCATTTGATCATTTCAATAGATGCAGAAAAAAGGTTTTGACAATGTCCAGCACCTATTCATAATAAAAACCATACAAAAATTTGGAGAGATGATATTTATCTCAATCTGACAAAAGCCTTTTATGACAAACCAACAGTCAGCCTCATACTAATGAACAAAAACTGAAAGCTTTCATTCTAAAATCAGGAATAAAACAAGAATATCCACTGTCTCCACTCTTATTTAATATAGTCCTGGAAACTAGCTGGAGCAATTAGACAAGAGAAAGAAATAAAAGAAATAAAGCTAAGAAAGGAAAATATTAAACTGTCATTATTTGCCCAAGACACCATACTCTACTTAGAAGAACCTAAAAATTCCAACCAAAGACTTCTAGTTTAATTAGCAAATTCAATAATATAGCTTTTTACAAAGTCAACACTCAACAATCAATAGTCTTCTTGTACAGAAATAGCAAACTCCCGGAAAGAGAAATCAAGGAAACAATACCTTAAACAATGACATGCAAAAAAAAATGAAATATTTAGGAATCAATCTTGTACAATGAAAACTACAGTACTCTCAAAATGGAGATTGAAGAAGATATTATAAAATGGAGAGATATCTCATACACTTGGGTAGGAAAATTCAATATAGTGAAAATGACCATACTTCCAAAACTATGGTACAGGTTCAGTGCAATTCCAGTCAAAACCCCAATAGCATATCTCACAGAAATACACAAAATAAATCCTAAAAATCATCTGGAAACAGAAGAGACCTAGAATAGCAAAAGTGCTCATAGGCAACAAAGAAAAGACAGGGTTCATCACAATCCCAGACTTGGAGTTATACTATAAAGCTACTGTGATTTTTAAAAAAGCTGTGGTACTGACAATAAACAAAACAAAACAAAACCAGACACAAAGATCAAAGAATAGATTAGAAGATGGAGAAACAACCCCAGACACACTAAACCATCTTATCTTTGACAAAGGTACCAAACACTTTCACTGGAAAAAAGACAGACTGTTTAATAAATGTTGCTGGAAAAACTGGATTTACACATGCTGAACATTAATACTGGACCCATATTTTTCAACGTGTATTAAGTAATATCAGAATAGGTTAAAGATTTTATAGTACAACAGAAACATTAAGTCTGCTGGAAGATAGAGTAAGTAAAACTCTAGAAGACATTGATGTAAGTAAAGACTGTATGAAGAAAACATGGATTAAACAGGAACAATCATCCAGAATTAACTGAGATCTCACCCTACTGAAAAGCTTTTTAACAGCAAGAGAAACCACTGGCAGAGTGAAGAGACAATCTACAACGGGGGAGAAAATGTTTGTCAGCTGTTCCTCAGACAAAGGACTACTATTGAGAGCATAGGAAAACTCAAAAAATTCAGTCTTCTCAGATTTAAAGACCCAATCTAAAAATGTGCATCTGAGAAGAAATACACAGTTCTCAGATGAAGAAATAGAAACAGCAAATAAATATGTGATAAAATGTTCTACTTCACTGGTCATTCAACACATGCAAATTAAAACAACACTGAGATTTCACCTTCCCCCCCAAAAAAAATTCCTACTGTCAAGAAATCAATCAATAACGAATTCTGGAGGGTTAGTGGAAGGAAAAGGATCCCTTCCCCTTTGTTGGTGGTAATGCAACCACTGTGGAAATCATTGTGGAGATTCCACACAAACTAGGTCTACAGGTCCCACTCAAATCAGCTATTCCCCTCTGGGTATCGGCGCAAAGATTTAAAAACATCATATCACAGTGATATATGTGCACCCATGTTTATAGCAGCACAGTTTGCAGTAGCCAGATCTTGGATGGAATGCATGACTTCTAGCTTCCCAGGCAGGGGGTTATGCTGCTGAGCTAAAACCCTGGATCACATTTTTTACTTTTTATCTTTGAAATAAAATCTTTTTGGGGGAAAAAAACAAGGGCTGAGGTAAAGTCCTTTAGTGCAAATACCCATCGGAGGAGCTGACATCAACACTGCAGAAGATAGCCAGATTCAGAAGTTCCACAATCTTTCATTGGGGAACCACAGTTACAGGCTGGGTTTTTTTTTTTTTTTTTTTCCTGTAATTATTCTTGGTGGGGAAGGCGGGCAGGAGAGCAAGAGCCAATCAGTGCTGAAGAGGCGGGCTGTATGAACTGTCCAATCAGGCAGGCCAAGGTACGCGGTCTCTTCCGGTGTCATGGCATCTGTTGCTTGTCCTGAGCAAAACGCGGAGAGCTAGATTCTTGCTAGACTGCGTTTCGTGGCTTTAATTTGCTGTGTACTGCTTAGAAAGAACCTGGGAGACCTCCGAGCTCTGCAATGGTGACGTTATGGGATGGCAGCAGTGAAATGGGGTGGAAGCAGGTTGAGACCAGTTAGAAGTGGTGAGAAGGAGCTGTGCTGTCTAGAGCCTGCTTGCTTAGCTTCAGACCCTGAGGTCCTCTAAGGCTAACAGTGAATCCTCTGTCACTTTTACCTCTCCTTGGAGCCAGAACAGCTCTGGATCCCTAGAACGCTGTCGCCACTGTGACACCACCAGGCCACAGTGCCATTTTTGAAATCGCCTGCTGCCCTTACCCCTCCAACAGTCTGGGCTCAGGGAGGGGCGTGGGGAGACCCTGACTCCATTGTGGTTTCGAGCTGGGTGCAGCTGTATTACAGCTTATTAAGCTGGGTCTCTGCTCTCATTTCTCTCAGCAACAGATCTGGAAGGCAGAAGGTTATAAATGTCTGTGATGCAGGACCTCATAGCCACAACATTAAAACTGGACCCGTATCTTTCAACGTGTATTAAACTAAGATCAGAGTAGATCAAAGATGTATCTGATCTATCTGATCTGCTCTCCTTAAACTTGTGCTTTTTTGTATTTATACTGATCTCTAAATGTATAGTATGTTCTCGGATTTACATCCTCATGACAGGTGGTGGCAAATTCAAAGATGTGTAGTGATGTGCCTCAGTGGAGGGAGGTTTCCAAACACATGGTGAACTCCTTTTATCATACAAAACCATTCAAAAAACTTTCTGAACACACTTAATTATTTAGGAGACACTCCTGCTCATAGACTGTGTTTATGAGAACAGCCAGAGAGTTTTGAATTCTGAGAAAAATGAAGCAGATGTGAAAGTGCTAGCAAGGGCAGGGTAAAGTGTGCTTGCTAAGGACAAACTCAAGAAATGCCTGACTGTTACATCCTCATTGAAAAACGTCTAAACTTAGGCATTTGCATGGAAATATACATCTGATATCATCCTGAATTGCAAGGAATGTGGGTGTCATCTCTGAATAGACATGCTTTAATAGCTTGTTTGATCATAGACATTGTTTAAATATGGAAATTCTCTGCAGTGAACTTTACTAAATTGTGTAAATGAGAAGAACTAATTAGAAATTGTGCAGGGATATCAATAGTTAGGCACGAAGGGTTTTCTGCTTAGCATTGATCAGAGGAGCATGGAAAAGATGTGGAAGTGATTGGTGTGATGCAGGGTGCCAGTAGCTGGACATAGAACAGAGAGGGTCTTCACTGAAAGTCAGGCAGTTCTTAGAGTAGGTATAAAGATAAAGTTGTACTCTGATTAGTTCCATGAGATGAATGCTAGCTCTGGCAACAGTCTGTGTTCCTCATCGTTGTCCAACCATGAATTCTGTGTTCTATACTAATTTTGATTATCTCTAATTATGTCCCAGTGTCATTAAGGTGAAATTGGAATTTTATTTGTACCTGGGATCAAACTCATGACCTCGTGCTTGCCAGGCAGGCATTCATGCCGCTGAGCTAAATACCCAGCACTGAAAGTGTTTTCTGTATACTATGGAAGATAGTAACATTGTTCCTTGGAAAGTGTTGAATATTGTTGGAATTTTTCTATATTGTATGCCTATAATTTTTTAAAACAAACCAAAGGTGTCTTATGCAGTCACTTTTCAATTTCACTTTGTCTGAGGGGTGTCTCAGTCAGGGTTTCAGTATTTCAGACAGCTCTGTAACTTAAGCTAGCCCCAAACTCGAGGCAGTTCGCCTGCATCAGCCTCCCAAGATATATTTCTTATATCTGAATGGAAAATGATCACTTCGTGGCCCTGAGCTATAATTTGCAGCTTGGGCCTGGTTTCATTGTTTATACATTTTTACATAAAATTGTTTTTCATTAACATTTGAGTCATTATTTATATACCATATTTGATGTTATTTATGTTTTGTTCCATGAGACCAAATTCAAATATCAAAATGCTGCTTAAGTATATTAAGAACAAAGGACTCAATGGCCTAAATGAGATTTGAAGGGATATTATCTGTAGTCTATCAGAGTGATTGATGAGATATTTGTCTGCCTCTGTGCTTTGTGGATGCTGGTCCTGCAGGCTCCCACTGTGAGTGCTGCTTTAGAGACAGTGCACATGGATTCTTGCAGTGACTCAGTACAAGAATCAGTGCTCCTGTTTGTCTGTTACATTAGCAGTGAGTTGCAATATAGCATCAAAATTGCTGTCTCCAAAAATGTGTATATACACAAAATTAATGACTAAGACATGGATTTAAAATTTGAAGAATTCAGTCTCCATTCATCTGTTTTGAATTCATTTAGTTTAGTTTTATTGAGACAGCCTTTCTTTATGTATATCAGCTGGTTTTGAACCCCTATGGAGCCTACAATTGCCCTGACTTCACAGCATCCCTCCTGTCTCAGCCTCTTGAGTGCTGGGATTATAGATATGTGTTTTTTAAGCCTACAAAATATTGAGGCTTGGCACTGTAACTTAGCTGTACTGTAGCTTGGCATAATAGATGCCATTTTGAGCTTTGCATTTAACTAGTGCCCTGTATTTCACCCAGAAAAATGGAAAATCACTCTGGGTTGAAGTCCCAGGAGAAAAGCAAAATGAGCTGTACCCAAAGAAAAAAATTAACCTGCTCAACAAAATGAGCAGAATACAGCTGTCATTCAAAAATTATAAGAATCTAACTAAATGATTTCCAACAGGATGTTTTTGTGATTGTATCTTATAAAACATCTGTAACTTTTCAGTTCAGAGCCTCTCGTTTAGATCCTGAAATGGGGGTTGGGGTTCTGTATACAAGTGGTCCTGAGACCAGCTAATGAATTTCCACATTTCTCCATAGGGTTGCTTGGATTCCTATATTGTTGTTCACAAACTCAACTCAAGCTGTAGAAACCTTTACTGACACAAGCAAACACCAGGATAAAATGCCAGTGCCACTGAAATGAAAGAATAATAGTGAAAAGGAGAGGAGAAAAAAGACAAAACACCATGTGTTATAATGCCCACCTCTTTCCCCAGCAATGAAGAAGCTGAAACAGGAGAATGGCCATATACTCAAGGACAGCCTAAACTACACAGTGAGTGCAAGGCTGGCCAGAACTCCAAAGTGAGCCTAAGTCTTTGAATCATAAAAATAAAATGAAAAAAATAAATAAATAAACCACCAATGAGAGAGAAAGACTATTAAAAAACAAAAACAATAATAGAGCTGAGTGAAAGTTTTGACTTATCTGAAATGGGATTTATTGAATGATGCTGCAGAGGAAAGAAGGCCGTGTAGTGGCATCCAGGAGGCAGTGACAAAAACAGACTTAGGAATGGCACCTTTTGTGCTAAAGCACAACAGTGACCTCCTTCCTCCAAGACATCTGCAATTCACTAGACTGAGGACTTCTAAAAGCTCATGGAAATGTTAAACTCATGGCAAACAAGCTGCTTGAAATCCAGGCTTTGAAACTTGGCCTTTAGCAGACATTTCATATTCAAATTGAAATAGGAGAAATATAATCCTGCCCTGTTTTATGTTTTTGCTTGCCTCACGTTGAGGAATGAAGTCACAAACCAAAAGAAGTTCAAAATTTTTCATAGAAAAAGAGAATAGCCCTGAATTTTCATGAGGGGTCTTCAGTGTTTTGGCCACAGACCTATTGTCAGGGGTCATTTATACAGCAAAGTCACAATGTGGGTACAGTGTGGGTCTCAAACTACAATCAACCTATAAGCTTATCACTGCTTAACTAATAATATTCAGCAGGGGAACAAGTCACCCCTAAAAGGTATGTGGAAAGAGCCAAGGCATTTTGTGGGAACAATAGTCTAGTTGCTCTGGTCATTGAGTATGGTAATTGATGCCTATCAGGCCTTCCTGGAGGAGGTGGTAACTGTAGTACATTTCAAGCTGTTTCTTTTGTCTTCAGGAGCATGTAGACATTGTCACTGCATCTTCACCTTCAGGTCTGGCTTTCTTCAGCTGTGCCTGTAGAAGTGATTGCTGTATTTAGTTTTTTGCATTGACTCTTTGAGGTTCCAGTTCCTCTTGATTGTATATCAATTTCTGTCTACGTTGACATCCTTTACTGAAATCACAATACTATTTGAATGGATAAAGTGGTGTTTATACAATCAAAAATATTCATTAATAGAGGCCAGGGATTTAGCTTATCAGGCAGAAATGCCTGCTTGGAAAGTGCTAGGTTGTAACTTTGATCCCTGGTACCTAAAAAAAAGTAACTTAAACTTCAAGTAAAGAAAATAATTTCATTTGTGAAAGTGTAGATTTACAAAATTTATAACTAAATATGTCATTGGCAAATTAAACATTGTTAATAGTCATACTTAGTATCTGAAGTTTTGGGGGCTGGGATTTAGCTCAGTGGTAAAAGCAGCTCCCTGAAAACACAAGGTCATGAGATCAATCCCTTATACAAAAAAAAAAAAAAATTCACAGTTGTCAGTGACGCAGTACTATGAGGACATTTATTGAAATAGATACTTGTTAATTATTAGACTCAATGTTTCTTTTGTGGTCTACAAAATATCTACAGATAACATGGCAATTACAGTGAATGATATATTGTCCCCTATAGGATTGCTATTTTCAGAGTTGTGTTTATTTTTTGTTTTCCCACATACTTGAAAGATGAGGGGCTGGGGATTTAGCTCAGTGGCATGAGCACCTGCCTTGCAAGCAGGCGGTCATGAATTTGATCCCCGGTACCGGTAAAAAAAAAAAAAATTGAAAATGTTGACTGATGCTCAGTAGAAAATCTGTGATAATCATTTTTTCAATTTAATGATATATTTCTCTATATCCATTAAGAACATTGTATTTGCTGCAATTATTCCAAGTGAAATTGATAAACAATTCTTAAAGTTACAGGCAGCTGAGTTAGTTTGAAATACAGGAAGCCATACTGTGATATAGTGGAATGAAATTCCTGAACTTCTATGTCTGGTATGAGTTTGTGTTCTCTAAAATGGAAGAATAAATTTTAGGAACAACAGAAGTGAAGAGCAGAATATATTTATTGAGAT